TATTTGATTTAAGCCCACATCCAACAAGGCAACAAGACAGATTAGAATATCCTGGAATTATCTAACTTGAATCGAATAAGACACACTAGAATGGCAGAATATACGAAGTATATACCTAGAAACCACACCATTGGGCTAAAAAAAGATGTAGGCTTGGCTGTTTGGACAGCTAAAGAGTAAAGATAAACAATCTTTTTTCATGTGTGTGTAAAATGAGCCGTGAAGCGGTGAAGGTAGAGAGGCACTGGTCTGGTACGCTAATACTATTAATTTGGGCACAATATTGAAAGCATGGTGTACAAGTGCATGTAGCTAAGTATTACACCAACACAATTTTAATACCTAAAAGGCCCTAACCCTCATTCACCATTATAGTATTTTATTTTAGATGAAAGTGAATAACCCCTATTCTTCGTAACTTTCACTTGTCGCATCGGTGTAGTCATGTAGGCTTCTTCAGTGGAATGATGTGTTGGTGCAATCTTTCACTTTTGTGTACAATGTCTTGCTTTTTAATGTCTCGTTTTACCATATTGGATTGTCCCTATTTAATTGTGTATACCTTATTTGGTAAAGTTTGTGTGACTCAAAATCATTCTTACTTTATTCTTACTTTATCAATTAATATCAACCACACAAACCTATTTTTCTTAAAACTCATGTCACCCTCTTCCGTCCCAATATAAAAGGGACAGAGGTAGTAATAATGAAAATAAACGAGTGGTTTTATTCAAAAGGTTGACTCTCCAACCCCAATGACCCCCACGCCCCGACCCGATAGAGCGAGTGGGAGATTATAAATCGCAGTGGCTCAACCAATCCTAACGATGGTAGACCTTATGCCTGTGCGTACCAGAGGCCCAACACATAGGAGTTGTGACCTCCACACGGTCATTGCGTGCTTTGATCCTTGGTTATTTGTCCAACTTTCTCATCACTTTACCAGTTGAGCTATAAGCATTGATCTTGTAATAATTTGCAGAACTTGAACCCGCGCCATATAAAAATATGCACATTGCTCTACCAGTTGAACTAATAGCCTTAAAATTATAGCATCAATATCCGCATCTTAGAACCAATTGTAGACAGTGACGTATCCATGAAATTTGGCGAGTGGGGGCAAACATGCACTACAATTTAGTCTCATATTTTACAAATAGCAAATGACATTATTAATATTGTTTGATTAAATTTAGTTTAAGATATATATGTACAAGTATGAATAAAAAGAAGATTGATTTATATTACGTGTGTAAAGATGTAACTACAGATAAAGTTTGAGAAAATTATCTAAATATATGTTAAACATAACAAAATTTAGTGAATTTTTTAGTCTTTCATTCTTTTAATATGAAAGAAAACGTTCCTAATCCTATTTTAGATTTTTTTCTACATTTAACTTTTATTTTGAGCAATTTCTTATAAAATTTTAGATATATATAGGGGTTGGCTTGGGGTTGAGTGGGGGCACCCGCCCCTGCTGCCCCCATAGTGGATACGCCACTGATTGTAGACCAAATAATCAAGACAAATTTGATGTAATTTATACACATGCATTTCTATTAGGGAAATTTGAAAAGAATAATCACAACTATTGTTGGCCAGCTCACAATAATCCGAACTATTGATTATTATATTTCTATATAATCTCAACTACATGGCTTATCTGCAAAAAAAAATGGCCCATGACCGGATATAACTTGCTATACCAATTTGCTTTTAAAAAGAAACTACGTATATTCTAAAAACAATCCGAACTATGTGTTCTTCTTTTAATAATCCCAATCATCAACTCAATTCTTTAAAAATGTAGAAAATTTTATAAAAATTTCAAAATTAGGAATTTATAGTATTTATAGTATGAAAATTAAACTAAATCTGAAAATGTACCATTTTTTAAAAATAAAAATATTGCATTTTATTTTCATATTTCATTTTTTTAAAATATTATTTCTCTTTTTTCTTAAATGCTCCGTATTTAGTTTTGGGTTCCTTTGAAAATTCATGATTGTGTATTGATTTTTAGCTAATTTTTAAATGAATCGATATTTTAATTAGGATGATTAGATTTTAATTTTTAATATTCCAAAAATAGTACTCTGTATTATCTTTTACTTTTTTTGCAATTTCATAATTTTAAAAATGTAGGTTTTCATATTTTTACTATGAATTTGTACTTAATTTTCAATTTCATTTTTCCTTTAAAGTTTTTATATTGGCCTTATATCAATTTCATTATTTATATATTTTATATTCTTTATATATTTATAATATATTACATATTATAAAACTTTAATTTTGAAATTATATACAACGTAAGTTTTTCCATATTTTATATTTGTATATTTATATTCTTTAATATCATAAACTACCTAAAAAGGTCAATTATAATACAAATAAATATCTATAATCAATTTTTACTCTTTTTAGGGAACTATTCATTTCATTTTCAGGGTCTAATAAATGTCAACATATCATAGTTTGGATTATTACACTCGGATACTTTTATTTTAATTGGCTATATAGGTAGCTGAACAGATGAGACCATTATTGGCGAAGATACCTAAAATTATTTGAAATTATTATGAGCGGCCTGTCAATTGTGGGAATCATTTTTTTCAAACATGACTCTATGCTTACAACTAGATCGGAGAGGATAAGGAGGGACAAGAGACCGGTGGTGATCGGTGCCACTAAGTCTCCGGCGATCTTCATCTCCCATGGAGATTTTCCGCCGCTGATTGTCCCCTGAAATGCTGGTCTTTCTCAGTGGCTATTAATAGTAGGTGAACTCGAGAAGAACTCATCACCAGTATTGCATCCGAACGGGGCGATCCACCGACTAGTTTGATGAGATCCAAGGAGATCGAGAGAACATGTGAGAAGAGAGGGAAGAGAATGGATCCGATGGCTGCCATGTTTTTTATTCGAAGTTGCTCATATGTCAAAAAGATACGAATCTCATTAATTTACAGCAATTGACATTAATGATAGTAGCGATCTGTGAGTTAATCGGACGATGGATATTAGTTCTCATTTCTCTCTATCTCTCTCTATATATTTCACAATTATTTATTAGAATATAAAAATCATTATAGCAAGTATTTCTTTTAGGGAAAATCGCATATATGGTCCCTCAGTTATCCCCGAATTGAAATCTCAGATCCGTATTTTTGAGATTTCAAATTGCACCCCCGAGTTGGCCCACTTACATTAAATGTTGTTCCCGCCGTTAGAAGTCCAACTAACAACATCCGGTCTTCCACTTTATCAGGGGTAAACGCGTAAATTCCTATCTTGTATCTTTAAATACTTAAACCTACATAATTAAAATAACTATAAACCTTCATTCGCACAACACATAAAGTTCATTCTTTCGCACCTGTAAATCTTCTCCTAGTCCAGCCAATGCAAATACTTCATTACTCAACAAACCATAACAAATACAACCAAAGATTAATCAACCACACAAAGCCAGAGTCCCATTACTTTCTACGCTCCCATTATTATATACAAAGCATAACCAATAACACAAACACTTAACACCAAAATCGTACATGTAAATGACTGCATGTGAACTACGGATACTATACAACTCATAAATGTCATTGTCTTTACCATTACAAAACTTATATAACAACATAGAACTTTGGTTAGGGGTCTTACACTTCAGAGTGGCATTTAAACCATTTAATCTTCGAATGGTCTCCTTCCTCCGTCACAGCTTGGACCTTCAAACGGAAAGCTAACCTTGAAAAATCGAGTGCCATGTCCAATAGAACGTTTGTTTTCAGAGAAGTATTTGAGGTTTAAGCAAAGGATTTGAATTGGGAAGTGATAAGCGTGATAAAGACTTGATGTAATGAAGGTTGAAAAGATAGTTACGAAATTAGGGATTTAAATCTTTAAGGAAGGGTTTACAAACAAAATCTTTAAGGAAGGGAATTTATGCGTTTATCCCTAATAAAATAGAAGACCGGATGCTATTAGTTGGACTTCTAACGACGGGGATGACTTAATGTAAGTGGGCCAACTCGGGGGTGTGATTTGAAATCTCATAAATACAGGTCTGAGATTTCAATTCGGGGATAACTGAGGGACCATATATGCAATTTTCCCTTTCTTTTATTTATTTGAACTCTTTTTGTCAAACGGGTCTACTTCATCTAACTAGCAACTCAGATTCAGTATTTTAAAATTCCACACAAGACAAGAGTCGATAATTCAAACAATAGCCCTTACTTTAGATATTAATCTTTAACTACAACTCATATGGTCAAACATAGCCTAAATACAAAACTTCAAAGGGACACATAGAGAAATTATCTCAGTTATAAACTTGACATAGCTAGTCCAGGACTCGGGTTGGGTCCGGGCCGGGCCTAGGCCCAGGCGGGGCGCCGGTTCTGAATAGGTGGGCCCGGGACCGGCCCGGGTAGCCACCGGGTCCGGGCCGGGCCTCGGGTCAATTTTTTATTATTTTTTTTTTTTGCTTTTCTTAATTAACCCCCCTCACCCCCAAACCACCCCAAATGGCCCAAAATACCCAGCCCAACCCGAAAAGTTAAAAAAATTGAAAAAAAAAATTAAAAAGCCCGGAACCGGCCCGGCCGGTTCGGCTTTTGGGTGACCCGAGCCCGCACCTGGAACCCCCCGAGCCGGGCCTACCCAGTCTGGTCACTGGCCGGGCCACTGGGCCGGGCCGGTTCAGCACAGTGCCGGTCCCGGGCCGGTTCCAGGTCGGGCCACCCGGCCCGAGTCCAGGACTAGACATAGCTATAACATTTGAGTCCACCAACCAAAAAGGTATCGAAATATACCATTAACATATAGAATTTCTACTAAAGTAATAACAACTTATGTAAAAAAATACTTTACTTTCATATATTGTGTAAGCCATTTCTAAAATACTATCCACAAATTATACATGACATAAAACTCATAAAATAAATATGAACCTTGCGTAGTTACGTCCAATTAATTTCTTTTGGTTGACTACCATTACAGACTTACAGAGTGTTCCACTTCATTAATACATGGGATAAGGTAGTGGGACTCCTCATGTCTCTAGCTTCAGACGCCCACAAATGAACTGCCAATAATTCCAGAGTTTTTTATTCCTAAAATTTCATATACTAACTGCGTTTCTTTTGCTTCTATTTACTATCTGATTTCTTCTGGAAAAAAAACATCCCAAATTTTACTCCAAGGTACGCACTCACTTCTGTGATTGGAAAATGGTGCAGAGCAACTGTTTGATTGGGATGTACAGTAGAACTCATAGTGCATTCACTGATTGTTCTTTTGCTTTACTCCAAAACTTTTATTTTGATTATAGTGATTTGGAGTTCAATTGGTTTCCCATAATGTATTAATCTAATCATATTCGCGTTTTGAATCTCCTACGCAGCTTTGCTTTAGAAAAACATCAAATTCCTCTGGTGAACTCAAAATCAGCTTTGAAAGCTCCAATGATTCCTTTTGAGTTCCTTGACTGTCATTCAAAGGTAATACTTTTTTGGCCTAAAACATCAAACTTAGCCTTAACAAACACATTATGCCCTTATTTCACCTTCCGCCAAGTGTGTGGTTTTTAATCAAAAATCCTTTTTTAACTTTACAATGTTTAAAGAGGAGGCACGTAATGACAAACGAAACAATATGCAGAAGTAGACAATAGGGATAATTTTCTCTGAAGTTTATTATGATGGCTGCTCTTGTTTACTGGTTTACCCATTCAAGCCCAGACATCTCAGTTCTGATGTTGATCGCATTTATCTCTATTACTCCGATCCCAGACACTCTAAATCATCTGTAACAAGTGATATGTCTGATCTCGCCATCCTGTTATCTTCATCACTAACTTGCATGGGTTAAACAGTTCTTTATATAGCTTTGGTTAAGCTGATTTGGTTCCGAATATATTTTTTATGATCAAACTGCGTCCATTTTGCATTTTCCAGAGAGGTGTAGGGGAAGCTGAAACATTCTTTCCTGCCATTAATCCGAAGCTAATTCATTTCGATGATATATACTCATTGACCAAAGGTGGTTTTGTGAGTATAGAGGAGGACCATTCAGCTGATTCGTGTAGAGGAAGGAAGCATTACCGTCCAGGTGAATGTGGGTTAGAAGAGCAGGAAAGGAGCAGCAAGCAGAGTGCAGCTTATAAGGAGGAGGAGGATTTATCAGAGATGTTTGATAAGGTTTTGATGTGTACTGATGATAATGCCAATGGTCCATCTGGAGCTTGCAAACAACGACAGAAAGAGCGAAATGGTCGCAAGATTCGTTCAAATAAACGAGGAAATGGTAATGAAATTGTTGATCTCCAGTCTCTTTTGATTAGTTGCGCAAAATCTGTTGCTGCTGGTGATTACGGGGCTGCATTAGAGCAACTAAAGAGGGTCAGGCAGCACTCTTCACCTGTAGGTGATGCAAACCAACGGGTGGCACATGCATTTGCTGATGGTCTTGAGGCCCGGATAGCTGGAACTGGGGCACAACTTTATCCTTCATCATTGTATCAAAATAAGATCCTAATTTCCGAAATGCAGAAATCCCATTTGTCATCATCCTTGCCATTTATGAGGATATTAATATTCTTTGCAAATAAAATGATTTACAAAGTAGCGTCAAGAGGAGCATCACTGCACGTTATAGATTTTGGTATTCTGCATGGCATCCAATGGCCCACTCTTATTCGAGATCTTTCACAAAGACCCGGTGGCCCTCCAAAACTCCGAATAACTGGGATTGAGCTTCCCCAACCTGGTTTTCGTCCATCCCAAATGATAGCGGACACTGGTTGTCGTTTGGCTAAATATTGTGAGCGTTTTGGAGTACCATTTGAATACAACCCCATAACAGCAAAGAGGTGGGAGGCAATTAAGATTGATGACTTGAAGCTCACGAAGGGTGAGGTGGTTGCTGTTAACTGTACTGCTCGACTAAAAATCCTACTAGACGAGACCGTATGTGGTGCAGACAGCCCCAGGGACGTTGTTTTAAACTTCATCCAGGAAGTAAACCCTCATATTTTTGTGCATTCTGTGCTTAGTGCATCTCACAACTCTCCTTTCTTTCTCAATCGGTTCCGAGAGGCTCTCTTCTTCTACACTGCTATCTTTGATATGCTTGAAGCTATTTTCCCAAGCAATGATAGTCAAAGGTTGAACTTCGAACAAGCATTTATGGGGTCTTCAATAGCAAATATTGTAGCATGCGAGGGAAAGGAAAGGTTAGAGAGGCCTGAAACATACAAGCAGTGGCAAAGTCGCACTATGAGGGCTGGATTCAAGCCTGTGCCCCTGAACCCTAAACTTTTGAAGAAGTTAAAAGACAAGGCACAGGAAGCATATCACAAAGACTTTCAGTTTGGTGAAGATGGTCATTGGGTGCTGCAGGGGTGGAAAGGCAGGATTATTTCCGGCAGCTCTGCCTGGGTAACTCAAAACCTCTGATTCTACAGTATGTAGGTAGACAAACTTTGCATTTATGAAACTTTGCTGCTAAGTAGCATGGAAACTTCTTCTCAGAGCTCATATCTACCAATTTGGTAACTCAGAAACCCTGAATTCCTATTTGCGGACTGTTTCCCTATTAGTTATGGTCTTGGGTTTTCATTTTTTTTCTTTTTGATAGAATTTCTTTATGATTGGGTCTCTGTGATACTTCATAGCGTGATGCATTACTAGAAAGGTAATTCCTGTAGAGCCATAGAAGATGGAGGTAATGAAATGAAAGGAAAAAACAGTAAGAAGATCATAAATATTGAAGTGCATGTTTCAATTAACATCACAGGAAAGGGTAAATGGATACCTACAATGGCAATATGGTATCAATGGATAGCTACTGACCCCTTTTCAACTCTGCAATAAAAATGGAATGGGTATGTTATCAACTGGGTCATTGTGAGGGGAAAAAGCTGCAGTTCTGGACAACAATGGCTACTTAAAGTAGTTCTGCAAGGAATACATGTTGGTAAAAAAAACATGGATCAATAACGAAATACCTGAAGCCCTGAACCATTGATATTATTATTACATTAATCAAGGCAAAAATAAATCAAAATCGAAAGTGCATGTAACATAACCGTACTGAGTTGACTTTACTGAATCAAAGCAAAACTCATGCAAATGCAATTTGTAGTTTTAAATCCCAGGTTTGTTTACCCTTCAATTTGCAAAGCTTACCCATCCTTGCACATCACAAACCGCAAAATGTATTAAAAAATACAACAAATACTCAATAATTTAGTTAAGTTAATAGAAAAGGGTATCCGAAATCAAAACCCTAACCAAAAATAATGGCAAAGCTCAATCGAGATGAGAGGTGACATTGCGTACCTTTCTTGGCATGGAGTTTTGTATCACCTAAAAATTAGGAAAATCAAATTTATTGATTGTATCACAAATTTCCCAAATATTCAAGTAGTGTCTAATATAATCATTCTATTGTTCTGGTTTTCTGTAGTAGGGTGTATATATCGGTTTTCAATTCGGTTTTTATCAGATTCGATTCGATTTAAAACGGGTCAGAAGAACTATTACCAAACAAAAATCATTCTATTTTTCGGTTTGATTTGATTCGGTTTAGTTCAATTTGGATTTGTTATTTTTAATAAATATATGAAGGTTTTATTAAATTTCTTTAGTTCGGCTTGATTTTGTACAATTTTTATCCGTTTTAATTCGGTTTGGTATAATATGGATTGGAAGAAATACTATCAAACTCAAATCAAATTGCATATGATCCGGTTTCAATTTGGTTTAATTGGGTTTGGCACTGATTAAACCAAATCAATACTCCGTATGTCTAATTGTCTAGGCCGGTATGAAATTGTAGTTTCTCTATTTGCCCAAATTGGGATCAAACTTTAGCAGTAAGTTTTTTTCCGCCGAGAAAAGTTAATAGTATAGGCGGCCGGATAGTTTATATTGGAGGCACCGGCTTTGAATGTAGAAATATGGAGAAAGGGTTTTACTGCGTATTTTGACGAGCCTCTCATACCTAAAATATGTCCATATCTAATTAATTTTCTTGAGGTGGTGATAGTTGAATTATCTTGTCAAAATTTTAAAATACACCCCTATTGGTTTTTGTTTATTAGCTGAAATGGTTGAATTGTTTGAACTATGCACCGTAAATCAAAGTCTGCTCCAGGGTTCGAATCACCCTGATTATGTTGGGTGTAATTCACTGTCACAAACGGTTGATTTCTTTTTCAATTATGTGGGTGTAAATTTTTACACTATTCATATTTAGTCCACTCGGATTCAGTCGCTCGTGACTTCTCTTCCCATGCGGACGACTCTAGGTTTTTGCCTAGTTAGTGTCTACCGGCGGTGGCGGTACGGCCGTTTCTGTCCGGAGGTTTCCTGCCTTGGTGCGTATCGTCTTTGTTTCAATCGGTGACATATCTGGCTCTCTTCTATTTTCGGATTTGGAGACGAGGCGAAGGGTGAGGCCTGGGTTTAATTCGGTGATGCGGCTTCGATTGAGATCCAGTGATAGCGGCGGCGGAGGATACGACTTGGTCGGGGCTGGGGCCATCGGGCAGCAGCGCGGTGCGGCTCAATTGGACTGTGACTCCATTGTTCTCAAGGAAGGATGATCATCATAAGCTGGAATTGCAGGGGGGAAGATTCGGGATCGGAAAAATTCAGGGCCAATGGCAGTAATCGCATACGGGCGAAAGAAGACGAAGGGAAGTTGATGTGTCCCCCTCCTGAACCGCCGCCATGGAGGAATTATAAGGAAGGATGTTGGATCTTGCTCGTGGTGATCAAGTTCGGGCATAAATTACACGTTTTTATTTATTTTATTTGGTTGTTGTTTACCAAGAACATGGTTGTTCCTTTTCCGTTGTTTTTTGCTTTCGAACTCTTACATTATGTGGGGATGATGAGGATTTTGCTTTGGCCATGCTAGGCTCATGTAGATCCGTTATAAGATCAGCGAATCATATTGTTCTGTCTAGGGTGATTGGTTCTCCGACTGGTTCGACCGTTCGAGGGTTGATGGCTGGGAGTGGTTTCTTTATCTCTGTTATTCCTTGCTGAATGTTCTTTTATCAATATAAGCCGCCTTTAAAAAAAACTAGATTTTTCACCCGTGCTTCGCACGGGATGCATTTAGCAAACAATAATTTTTTTGAAAATATATAGAAATGTTATGATAAAGATTGTTTCTATTAAATTAAAAATGAAGATAAAAAAATCCAAATTACTCTGATTCTCGTGTAGTACTATATACTTCATTCTAAACAACATTTAAAGTCTATACTCCGTAATTGTAAACGCTTATATATAAAAATAATTGTAAAGAATTATGTTCATAGAGTTTGGTTGCGACAATTTATGTATAGACAATCATTACGAATATCATATACTTTCCCCTATGGGTGGACTCGGGCCGGGTGGCCCGACCCGGAACCGGCCCGAACTGGCACTGTTCCGGTCCGGTCAGTGACCGGTTCGGGTAGGCCCGGCCCGCTGGGGTTCCGGTCCGGGCTCGGGCCCCTCAAAACGTGAACCGGCCCGGCCGAGTCGGGCCTGGTCCGGGCCATTTTATTTTATTTTTCTTTTTTTTTTGATTTTTTTTTAAGTTTTTGGGTTGGGCTGGGTATTTTGGGTCATTTGAGATGGTTTGGGGGTGAGGGGGGGTGGTTAGGGGTTAATTAGGAAAAGGGAAAAAAAAAATTGAACCGAGGCCTGGCCCGGACCCGGGGTTACCCGGGCCGATTTCGGGCCTCCCCTTTCCTGAACCAAGGCCCGAACCGGCCCGAGTCCAGCCATACTTTCCCCGTCCCGCTAAGATTGCCTTTTCTTTCCTTTTTGGTGTTTCTCACTAACATTGTCTTATATCAAATTTGATACGGAGTAAAATTTATGCGATTCTAAATTATTGTTACTTGATCCATCAATATATATATATAAGAGGGACTTTTTAAGAGCATACAAAGCGCGGCATAATCCTGCCATGTCATTATATATATTAATTATTTAGTTAATTTGTACCTTCTATTTTTATTAGCTAGATTCTATTTTTGATTTCATATTGATATGGAAACAAAAATCCGCAGAAAGTACTATATTAAACAGGCTCTATTTTAGGCTAAGTTTATATATGACAGGTATTCTTAGCCAAAAATACAATACGTTTTAATTTCTATAACAATTAAATGTCATAGTATACGTTTAGGCTTAGAATTATGTGTTAGAATTATACGTTTTAATTCCATTATAACAATTAAATGTTATCGTATACGTTTATACGCTTAGGCTTACAATTTAAAAAAACAGGCTCTACATTTAGACTATTTTACTAAATATATACTCCGTATTAAATTTCTATGAATATCCATCTTCATAAGATTATATTAAACGTTTAAAATCGGGTTCATAGCAATTATATTTACTCGAGATGCTTATGTAGAAGATCAATTTAACTATTTTTCATAAAATCTTTTTCTGGCTTCACAAATGGAATATATTTTACATATTTTTTCATGATTCCACTCATTTAGCTCATTCAGTCATAATTTAATCAATTTGAGTAAAATAAGTTAATTCAATTTATTTTAGTATTATCAAACAGGCTCTATATTAGACTAAGTTTATTTTTCTTTTAAATCACATTACATATGATCCGAAAGAAATCAAATTTCAAATTAGCTAAATCACATCTGTTCGTGCATCGCACGGGCTTGAAAGCTAGTTTAATATATACGACATAAACCCACTTTTTTAATAACTTCATCACCTCCTAATTCCCAACAT